TCGGGCGGCACGGGCGGCTCGGCGGCGGCTCGGGCGGCGGCTCGGCGGCGGCTCGGCGGCGGCTCGGCGGCGGCTCGGCGACGGCTCGGGCGGCGGCTCGGCGGCGGCTCGGCGGCGGCTCGGCGGCGGCTCGGCGGCGGCTCGGCGGCGGCTCAGGCGGCGGCGGCTGCTGCTGGGCGGATCGGCGGGGCCGCGTAGCAGAGTGGCGGCGGGGCCGCGACCGAAGAGAGCGGCGGGGCCGCGTAGCAGAGGGCGGCTGGGCCGCGTAGCAGAGGGCGGCGGGGCCGCGTAGCAGAGGGCGGCGGGGGCCGCTACCGAAGAGAGCGGCGGGGCCGCGTAGCAGGGGGCGGCGGGGCCGCGTAGCAGAGGGCGGCGGGGCCGCGTAGCAGAGGGCGGCGGGGCCGCGATCGAAGGGCGGCGGGGCCGCGTAGCAGAGGGCGGCGGGGCCTCGATCGAAGGGCGGCGGGGCCGCGTAGCAGAGGGCGGTGGGGCCGCGTAGCAGAGGGCAGCGGGGCCGCGTAGCAGAGGGCGGCGGGGCCGCGATCGAAGGGCGGCGGCGGGGCCGCGTAGCAGAGGGCGGCGGGGCCGCGATCGAAGGGCGGCGGGGCCGCTAGGGAAGGGCGGCGGAGCCGCGAGGGGAAGGGCGGCGCAACGGTCCGCTAGGGGCGACACGACGGGTCGCTAAAAAAAAAACGCGCCTCGGGGCGCGGTTCGGTGGGCCCTAGAAGCAGTCCCTAGGAGGGAACCTGCTCTGATTCCATGTGAAAACAAAGAACGAGAATGAAATGACTATGAACGAAGTGAGTACAAATAGGAAACCCTAATTGGGTTGTACCCCCTATTGGATACCCCACTATAGCCTACAGAAACAAGTAAGCTATATGTTCTGACACGACACACTGAGGACTACACTTGCGGCTCTTGGGTTTGCTCCTTCTACTGCCGACCCGTCGCTGTTTCTGTGCACCGACACCTCTCTGCCGATGTTCTACATCCTCGTGTACGTCGACGACTTGGTCTTTGCCACAGCTGACACTGCTGGACTCGCCTACGTGAAGTCCGAGCTGCAGAAGAGACACACGTGCACTGACCAGGGTGAACTGCGCAGCTACCTTGGCTTGCGGATCACCCGGGACAGAGCACGCCGCACCATTACCCTGACTAAGTCACACATGGTGCAGCAGGTCCTTCAGCACTTCGACTTCACGTACTCCTCGCCTCAGGCCACTCCTCTGCCTACTCGCCACTCACTCTCAGCTCTGCCTTCGGATGAGTCCGTAGAGTCGAGTGGCCCGTATCCAGAGCTTGTTGGTTGCCTCATGTACCTGATGACCTGCACACGACCTGACCTTGCATACCCTCTTAGCATTCTTGCACGCTATGTTGCTCCTGGGAGACACCGACCAGAGCACATGGCTGCAGCGAAGAGGGTGTTGCGCTACTTGTGCAGTACGTCGGGCATGGGGCTAGTGCTTGGAGGGCGCAGTCCAGTGGTCCTCACTGGGCACGCGGACGCTTCTTGGGCTGACGACCAGGCTACGCAGCGGTCGTCATAGGGTTACACCTTCAGCCTTGGTTCCGGCTCTGTTTCGTGGCGGCCTACTTGCTCGTCTTCTGTTCTCGGCTCTAGTTGTGAGGCTGAGATCTACGCCGGGGCCATGGCTGCCCAGGAGCTACGCTGGCTCACCTACCTGCTGACCGACCTTGGAGAGCCGCCTCGTTCTCCTCCAGTGGTGTACGTAGACAACAAGGCCATGCTGGCCTTGTGTCGAGAGCAGAGACTGGAGCACAGAACAAAGCACATTGCTCTCCGCTACTTCCTTGCTCGTGAGCTACAGCAGCGTGGTCAGTTGCGGCTTGCGTACGTGGCCTCTGAGGCCAACACTGCTGATGTTTTCACCAAGGCACTTGCGCCTTGTGATCATCAGCGCTTCTGTACTCAGCTTGGTCTTGTGCCTGTCTTGCCTCACTTGCTCACTGCTTGACGTTGCTTGTACTGTCATATATATATACTCCTGCTCTTGCTTGCTTAACCTCTTATATATATGTGCTCCTGCATGTGAACTGGCCTTCTGGCCTTGAACTTGTGCTCGGAATGTGTGGTGACTTTGTGATCCACCCTGAGCTTTGCTTTGCTTTGCTTGACTGGTCTTGTGACCCCTTGTTCTCCCCCACTTTGCCTATGGGGGTGTGTCAAATTATAATGTTGTGTAGGCTATAGTGGGGTAGCCCATATGGGGTACACATTTCTAGGGTTGCATATTTGTATCACTTTCATTCCATAGTCATTTTCATTCTCGTTCTACTTTTCTCACAGCGAACGGTACTCGGAGACCCTCTTCTCTGAGCGTACCACTCGTGAAGCTGCTGGGGCGTAAGTGTCTCGCGCAGGCGCCGCTGCAGCTGCAGCTGGCCACTGCCAGACGCTCCCAGCTGACCAGCTCCAGGGCGACAGCTACGGCGGCTACCACTACAACCCCAACAAGCGTACCACTCACGAAGGTGCTGGGGTGTGAGAGACTCGTGCGGACGGACGTCACTGGAGCTTCATCTGGCCACCGCCAGTAGCAGTAGTAGCAGCAGCAGTAGCAGCACCAGCCTAGCAGCAGTAACAGAAGTAGCTGCAGTAGCACCAGTAGCAGCGTGGGTAGGGCTGGCAAGGAAGGCAGGCAGGCAGGGAGGCATATGGCGCTGCAGCGCGCTAACAAGGCAGACTCGCGGGAAGCGCGGGTAGGGCAGGTGCTCACCAGTGGCGGGAAGGGCAGGCGCACGACGGCGGCGACGGCGGGACCGCAATAGCGGCTGCAAATTAGGGCCACGTCAGCTGCAGGGCTGGGGCCACGACAGCGGCTGGGCAGGGCCGCGGCAGTTGCTGCACGGCGGGGCCGTGTCGGCGGCAAGGCGGGGCCGTGTCGGCGGCAGGGCGGGGTCAGGCGGGGCCGCGTCTGCGGCGGGGCGGGGCCGCGTCGGCGGCAGGGCGGGGCCGTGTTGGCGGTAGGGCGGGTCGAGGCGGGGCCGAGTCGGCGGCAGGGCGAGGCCGTGTCGTCGACAGGGCGGGGCCAGGCGAGGCCGCGTCGGCGGCAGGGCGGGGCCGGGTCGGCGGCAGGGCGGGGCCGCATCAGCGGCAGGGTGGGCCGCGACACAGGGCGGGGCCGCGACAGTGGGAGGGCGGGGCCGCGTCAGCGGCAGGGCGGGCCGCGACACAGCGGTAGGGCGGGGCCGCGTCGGCGGGGCCGCGACCTGGCGGGGCCGCGTCGGCGTCAGGGCGGGGCCGCGACAGTGGGAGGGCGGGGCCGCGTCGACAGCAGGGCGGGGCCGCGAAAGCGGCCCGGCGGGGCCGCATCGGCTGCAGGGCGGGGCCGCGCTCTCGCCTGACGGGCCTGCAGGGGAGGCTCGCGGGTCTGACGGACCTGCAGGGGCGGCTCGCGGGCCTGACGGGTCTGCAGGGGCAGGGCGCGGGCCTGACGGGCCTGCAGGGGTGGCTCGCGGGCCTGACGAGCCTGCAGGGGCGGCGCGGTGGCCTTACGGGCCTGCAGGGGCGGCGCGCTAGCCTTACGGGTCTGTAGGGCGGTGCGCGCGTAGCTAGGGCAATAGTAGGCAGCGCGAGGGCTGCAGGACGGCGCGCGAAGCACAACACGTCACAAGGCAAGGCAGGCGAAGGCTAGCGCAGGAGGACACGTGGGTTAGCGTGGTAACCGGAGCGGTAGGTGGGCCCGGAAAAAAAAGACGGTCCTACGGACCTAGTGCTCTGAAACCATGTTAGAATGTAGTAGCAGGAATGAATGAACTATGAAAGAGTTGGGTACAAATGTGAAACCCTAATGGGGTTATACCCCATGTTGGCTACCTCGCTACAGCCTATACATATATGACATACATATAATTTGACTGTTGCGGATAAAATATAAAAGGAATAAGTGAAAATTAGGTACAACGGACAACGTACTCTCACTCTAGGGGGAAACCAAGGAAGACACTGGAGACAGTGCGAGCTGGGAGCTTGTCTGCGCTGTGAGCAAGACAGCCCTGGACAAGGAACGCAGATACAGACACAGGGGATCCAGTCAAGAGGATCGTCGACGAAACATATGGGTGTGAGGAACGGGGCCACATGTTAAGCTGATATGCAGTGTAGCGTACTCTAAAGGGCCATAGAAAATGGGTTGCACTGGCATGAATCATGGAAGTACGATCGATCTCCATGATCAAACCGATGCGCCGCTCAGCGATCCCATTCCGCTGCATTGGATCCGGCTGCGTGAACGATTGTCGGATCCCCTGGCCGCTAAAGAACTGCTCCACTCCACCGAAGGTGAACTCACCACCCTGTTCAAAGTGTAAACCAAGCACAGGACGGCCTCGCTGGGTGCGGACGGCCACAATCCACGTGAGAGGAGAGACAGGCACGTCGGACTTCCGCTGCAACGAGAACACCGTGGTGTAGGGGGGAGTACTTTTCCACTACTACCATGTGAAGGAGACTGGGGAAGGAGGGGTGACCTAGGCGGTGGTGCCACATGAGCGACAGGTGGGTGAGAGAAAGACACTGAGGTGTCAGTGCGCAGCGAGAATACCGGATGCAGGCCTCCGTGTGAACTTGACAAGAGGAGCCCCAGTGGTTGAGTCTATACAGGCCGCAAAACGCTCGTGCCAAGGAAACGTGGTGGTGACACCCGGATCTTCAAGATGACCTACACCGGCCAAGTTCCTGGAGAAAGGGGATTTGCAGATCCATGAGGGACAGCATGACACGGGGACGAGCAAAACGGTCCCTTTATAAGGGACGGAGAGGTTTGTCATCAACAATTGAGACAGATACGCTAATCCAGATTTATGTGTGTTCCGTTGCCGGGACCTGAACCTAGATCTTTCGGGTGAGAGCCGAATATCCTAACCAACTAGACTACAACGGATACAGCCATTTAATTCTAGACTAACGAAATCATAAATCTTAAACAACCTTGCTTCCCTTGCACATCATCCTTCATTTACCAGTCACCATGTCGGCCCACTTGCTCTCCGCGGCCTCTTTCGCCTCACCACTCTCACTTGACCAACCGCCTTGCTGCCTCCGCGTTCTTTCGGGCGACTCAGGACAGCGCCGCAACCCGTCCTCACTGTTGGGACCTGGGGTAAGCGAAGCGCCCAGCGCGTCGAGGGCGGAATGGGCACGGGGAGAGTCCGCAGGCAGTGCTAGCGGGTTTCGCTCCGTTGCAGGCCGAGCGCAGTCGGGCAACTGGCGCAGCTTAATACGGGGAGGGATCTCAGCGCGGGGCGAAAGCAGGAGCAGTGCGGGACCGGGCGCTGAGCAGTGGGGGCAGAGTGCGGAGGGGCGCAGAGAGGCAGGCGGAAACGGCGGAGGGTGGTCCGACAGGGGACGGAGAGGTGGGGGGCGGTCGGTTGGCGGATGGGAGAGAGGGGGACGGCGAGGAGGTAGCGGAGGATGGGGGGCCGGCGAAGGGGACATCGGAGGTTTAAGGGACAGGGAAGGCGCAGGGCGGCGGGAGGGATCGCGCGGTGATGGAGGGGATTGGGAAAGGCAATGGGGTGGGGGAGCGGAGAGCGCGCGCGAGCGAGGGCTGGAGGGGAGGGATGGCAGGGACGCATGGCGCGCGGACGGCGGTCGCGCGGAAAGGGGGCGGGGCGGCGGGCGCGGTGGCGGATCCTGGGACGCGCGGAGCCGAGGGGGAAGAGGCAGGGCGGGATCTTCCGCGTCGTGGGGCCGAGGGGGACGAGGCGCAAGCGAGCGCGGGAGGGGACCGGGTGGGCAGGCGGGCGGAACGGGGGCGTGGGGGAGGCGAGGAGAGGGGCGGTGGGGGAGCGAGGAGGGTGCGGAGGAGGAGTTGCCGTCGGGGTCGTTCGTGCTGCCCGACCCCGAGGCGGACGGCGCGGCGGACGGCGTGCTCGTGGTGGGCGTCGAGGGCCGCCCCCCCGCGCTCTCCCCGCGCGACCTCGTGTGGGCGCGCGCGCGCCGCGTGCGGTCGGGCGTGGTGAGCGACGCGCGGTGGTGGTCGGTGATGGATGGCGACCGGTACGTGGGGGACGACGAGGGGGACGAGGGGGCGCAGGGGGACGAGTGGGAGGGGGAGGGGGGGGAAGGGGGGGCTTTTGGGAGGGCGGGGGTGATGGCGGGAGATGCGGGGAGGGGCCGGGAGGGGAGAGGGGCAGAGCGCGGGGACGAGTCGGACACAGAGGGGGAGGAGGGGGAGGAGGTGGAGGTGGAAATGCGGGGGCAGGGGGGAGGTTGGGGGGAAGAGGATGAGGCGGATGGGCGAGAGGGCATGAGGGCAGGGAGGAGGGGCGAGGAGGGGGCGGGCAGCAGGCGGGTGAGGGGCGTGCGGCTGTTCGGGCGGGACTTTGGGCGCAGCCAGGCAGGCAAGGGGGGGGACGGCGGTGAGGATGCCAACCTGTCAACGCGGAGCCCGCGGGTGGCAACACCACATGCTGACGTGGCGGCCTTGAGCAATGCTGGTGACAGCAGGCAGAGGCTGGGTGGGGTGGGTGTGGGCGCCGGCAGCGCTGGCAGCGCGCAGCAGCCGTGGGGCGAGGGCGCGAGGGGAGGGGGTGCGGCGGGGTGGCAGGGCGCGGAGGAGATGCGTGGAGCAGGGAGGAGGGGGAGGAAGTCGCAGGAGGAGGAAGAAGAGGAGGAGGAGGGAGGGGAGTGGGCGAGTGGGTCGGAGTGGGCGCGGTACGGCATGGAGGCGCCGTTTGAGGGCATCATTGAGCTGGACGACGGCGATGGTGTATGGGGGGCGGGCGCGCATGGCACGGCGGGCAGGCGGCGGCAGGAGGGAGCAGCAGCAGCAGCAGGTGGAGGGGGGGGGGATGAGGGCCCCAGCGTGCTGGATGCCCTGCGCCGCCAGGTGGCGCCACGAGCCAAGGGGGGCGACGAGGGGCGGGTTGGGGGCAAAGCAGAGAAGGGGGAGAAGGGGAAGGAGGCGAGCAAGGATGGTGGTGGGCGGGATGCAGCAGCAGCAGCAGGCAAGGCATCTGAGGGGTCTGGCGTGGGGAGGGCAGCGGTGGCGGTGGTGGCGCCATCCCAGCGCGAAAACTACGACCCAGCGCTGGCAGACCAGTTCTTCAGCCGCACCTCCTTCGCCCAACTCGCCGCTTCACCCGCCGCCCTCACTGCCCTCCACGCGCTCGGCATCACCCGCCCCTCACACATCCAGGTGGGCGTTGTGGGGAGTGGGTTGTGTGCGGTGGAATGAATTGTGTGCAATGGAGTGGGTTGTGTGTGGCGGAATGAATTGTGTGCGGTAGAATGCGGTGTGTGCGGTAGAATGCGGTGTGTGCGGTAGAATGCGGTGTGTGCGGTAGAATGCGGTGTGTGCGGTAGAATGCGGTGTGTGCGGTAGAATGCGGTGTGTGCGGTAGAATGCGGTGTGTGCGGTAGAATGCGGTGTGTGCGGTAGAATGCGGTGTGTGCGGTAGAATGCGGTGTGTGCGGTAGAATGCGGTGTGTGCGGTAGAATGCGGTGTGTGCGGTAGAATTCGGTGTGTGCGGTAGAATGCGGTGTGTGCGGTGGACTGGGTAACGCACAAGCCTGTTGAGGTGTGGAGCATGCAACTCAAGTAAGCAAGCTGCGTTGCCGTGTGTGTTGGGGGGCACCCACCGAATCAACGCCTTCTTCCTTCTCCCCTCCTCGCCCTTATCCTACCGCCATCCTTCATGTCTTGCCTGCATCCCTCAATGCTGCTACCTTTTTCTCCAACCCCAACCTGACACCCCCCTCCGTCCTCGCACGGGTGCATGAGGGCAGGCAGCAGCGTTCCCGTACGTGCTGCGCGGAGCGGACTGCATTATGGCGGACCAGACGGGCACCGGCAAGACACTCGCCTACCTGCTGCCGCTGCTGCAGCGCCTCAAGGCCCACGAGCTTGAACGCGCGGGAGGGGGCGAGGGGGGCAGCGGGGAGGGGGAGGGCAGGGAGGGGGCTGGAGGAGGGCGTGTGGGCGGTGCGCGCATGGGAGCAGCGCCGAAGCGACCGGCGGCGATTGTGTTGGTGCCCACCACTGAGCTGGCGAACCAGGTGTGCCCACCACTGAGCTGGTGAACCAGGTGTGCCCACCACTGAGCTGGCGAACCAGGTGTGCATGGCGGGGCGGCGAGGGTGTGTGCGCCGGGGGTACGTTGTCTTGCTAGTGCTCCAATCCATGCCATCACTTATTGTCATGCTACTGGCACTGGCAAGCACATGGGAAGCACCTGGTTGGCACATGGCAGGCAGACACACGGGTGGCACGTTGTCATCTGTGGTGGGTCTCGCCATTCACGTTGTTGTATTACCTCTCTCCATCTCCTCCTCCCTTGCTGCTCAAGATTCGTCAGCTTGAGAGCTTACATCGAGCTAGTTGTGAGCCATGCACGAAGGCGTTGAGTAAACAGCATGTCAAAGTTGAAGGAAGTACAAGCATTAGAGAATGGGGGAATCCAAAATCTGAGACATCACACACTCAAGCTTTATGATGGCATGGGTTCTTCACCAGCTGTGGAAAGAAGTGATAAATCCAATGACGATGGGGTGCGTGTGATGTCACATGTCAAATGGTCACAGAGACGATAGAGTATTGAATCACATCCATGCACAATGATCTATGCCTCGCCTCCAGGTGGTGCGTGTGGCGCGGCAGCTGTCAGCGGGCGGCATGAGGGTGCGGTCGGTGGCGGTGACGGGAGGGCACCGGTGGCGCACGCAGGTGGAGGCGCTGGCGGGCGGGGTGGACGTGGTGGTGGGCACACCCGGCCGCGTGCTGCAACACCTCGACGCCGGCTCCATGCTGCTGGACGATGTTACGTGGTGAGCGCATGCTACGAGGTGAGGCCACGGTTAGTAATGTCATGCGTCTGATGTCACTTGCATACCTCACTTGTCACCAACCCTCCCACTTGTCATGGTGTGCATGTGGTGTGCGGTGCAGTGTGGTGGTGGACGAGGCGGACATCATGTTTGACGACGACGACTTCAGCGCCGCCCTCAAGCCCATCCGCATGGGGTGCTCGCGCGCATGCCAGGTGGTGCACGTCACGGCCACGCTGCCAGCCGACGTGCACCAGCAGCTGCTGCAAGAGTACCCCACCGCCGTCTCCCTCATCGGCCCCAGCCTGCACCTCACCTCCTCCGGCCTGCACGAGGTGCGCTCCCTGCCATGCCATGCCATGCCTGCACTTGGGGCCTCCGTGGGTCCACCAGTCACCACGTGCCGCGTGCCGGTCACCGCTATCGCTCCTCACAGCACTGCCTGCTGTGCCTACTCGCCAGTCACAGCACCACCATGCCCACCACTCGCCAGTCACAGCACCACCATGCCCACCTCCGCATTCCGCTGCAATTGGCTTGGTCGAAGCACCCTCCCCACCTCCCCCTCCCTCTCCCCCCCCAAACCCACAGGTGCTGGTGGACTGCTCGCAGGCGGAGGGCGAGCAGCGCTCGGAGGAGGGCGGCTTTGCACGCAAGCGGGCGGCGCTGCTGCAGATTGTGGGGGCGAGCAGGGGCAGGCGCAGGGGAGACGCGGAGGGAGAGGAGGGGGAGGGGAGTGTGGGCGCAGTGAGAGAAGGCGAGGAGAGCAGCGTTGGGTCAAAGAAGACGATTGTTTTCTGCAACAAGGTGTGCTGCTCTGCTCCTTGCAGCACTCTGCTCCATTGCCTTGTCACCTCTGCTCCATTGCCTTGCCACCTGTGCTCCATTGCCTTGCCACCTGTGCTCCATTGCCTTGCCACCTCTGCTCCATTGCCTTGCCACCTCTGCTCCATTGCCTTGCCACCTCTGCTCCATTGCCTTGCCACCTGTGCTCCATTGCCTTGCCACCTGTGCTCCATTGCCTGGCACCTGTGGCTAACACCCATCGTGCACTGATGCACTCCTCATTGCACTTTCTTCAGCCTCATTGATTACCATTCCTTGCCCTCACGCCATTCGTTCTCTTTCTCTCTTTCTGCCTGCCAATGTGTGCTTACGTGCCTGTGAGTACGTGGTGTTTGTATGTGTGTGTGTTTGTGTGTGTGAGTGTGTGTGAGTACATGGCGTTAGTATGTGTGTGTGTGTGTGTGTGTGTGTGTGTGTGTGTGTGTGTGTGTGTGTGTGTGTGTGTGTGTCCACTGCACGTGTGCTTGCATGTGTGATCACGTGGCTGCATGCGGGTGCATGGTTGTGAGTGTGTCGGTGCATGGGTGCGGGGGGGCGGGGCCATCAGATAGAGACGTGTCGCCGGGTGGAGAACGTGCTGGTGAGGGCAGACCGCCAGCAGCGCCGCTACAGGGTGCTCGTGTGCCACGCGGGCATCGCCCCCGACGCGCGCCGCCAGGCCTTGGAGCAGCTGCTCGCGCCCAACCCACCCCTGCCCCTCATCCTCGTCTGCACTGACCGGTACTGCCGCCTGCACCCACCTGCTCGCCCTGCCTCTGCGTAGCATTTTCTGCCTCTCCATCTCTCTCTATCTCTCTCAGCCTCTTCCTATCTCTTGCTGCCTCTCTCTACCTCTCTCTGGTGTTCAATGTCGGCACTTTGGAGTGCCATTCCTGGTGCGGGGCCTGCACACCCCTGCCCCCTCATCTTCTCCCCATCCTCCGTGTCATATCGCCCCCCCTCCCTTCCCCCCCCCCTGCCCCCCCCCTCCCGCGCATGGTGCATGGCAGGGCGTCGCGCGGCATAGACAGCATCGACGTGGACCGAGTGGTGCTCTTTGACTTCCCTCGTGACCCCAGCGAGTACGTCCGCCGCGTGGGCCGCACGGCCAGGGGAGCGGGCGGCACGGGCACGGTGTATGTGTTCGTGCAGGGCGGGCAGGTGGGGCTGGCTCGCCGCATCATGACCCGCAACGACCGCGGGCTGCCTGTGCATGAGGTGCCCGACAGCTTCTTCTGATGCCACTGGCGGGGCCTTTGATGACTTGTATTGAGCACACTGGCGGCAGTTGTGGTGTGTTACTCAGATGAGAAATGCACAATAACTGTTTCTTATCAAAGTTACATCCACTTGGACATTGAGTAGCGACATGTGATGAGCAGAGCAGAGCTGTCTTATACATATATTCTGGTTGTTACGTCAAGAAATTGTCTCATAAAGTGTTGGGCTGAGAAATAGCCCTTAGGATCTTTGCCAGCAGGGCCCAAGGTTTTAGCTCACTCTTTCAATTCAGGGTGGCATCTCCTCCGTACCCTGACTGGTAGGGTAAAGTTTCTCGTACACTGATTGTAGCAGCCTAAAAGTTTTGGTACACTGATTTTGGCAGGATAATATATGTCCTACACTGTTTCCTTCCTAAGCATAAGATTGTACTACTACAACAATTACTCAGTTACCGTATCACTCAGTTATCCTAAGCGGATCAAGCTCAGAGGCAGGCATTCAGAACAACAAACGAGAGGGAAACGAGAGAATGGCAAGAGCCTCAAAGACCCCTCGGGAATCACAAAGCCCAAGGCGCCTCAGGCAGCAAGGTTCCCTCACTGGTAGGGAACTGCACGGCAATGGCTGCAAGCAGGGCTGACGTTTCAAATTTAGGCACTCTGATTCCAACCCCAAAAAAAAAAAATCGACTCTGAAGGCACTTCGGCCAGAAATCAAGCACTCTGATTGGTCAGTGTTCTGAAGTCAGCCTGTCTGACAAGTCAGTGTCGGTGGGTCCGCATCAGGGTTAGTCCTCATGCCTGCCGCTGACAGGCCCATGTCGGTGGCATTCTGGATTGGCTGGTATGAATGGCGTGTGACTCGGCAGATTGTTGCAGCAGGCAGCGCGCGATTGTTGTGTATGTACAGTTCCTGGCACAGTGAGACCTACCTTGCTTGCAAGTGCCAACTGGCCGAGGTGCTGCAAAGATGAGCTGGCAGTAGGCACGAACTGTTACTTGGTGGCGCGCCTGGCAGTACCTTCAACCTACGAAACAGTGACGACATCACACGTTTGGGCGTAGAGAACACCCGATTTCAGTACCAAAAAGTGCAATATCCTACCCGTGGCGAGATATCCCCCCCCCCCCCCCCCCCTCCCCCCGATTGGCTGTAAAGTTCTCCGATTCGTTGAGCGATTCGCTAGAAAAGGTATTTTGGCCCTTTTCTATTTCACACTTCAACGGTTACCCCGATCACGCAACAACCTAAAATGCGTGTCTTTGTCGCAGATAGGGTGTATTCGGTATCCCCAGCTGGTCATGTGTACTTTGCTCGCGTGGTAGCACTCTCTGCCCATTCGAAGGTGGGTATATCGGGAAGAAAGTTCCAGGAAACTTCGTCTCGATAACCTCGGGATCCGGAGACCACAGAATGTATACTCTGTAGAGTCAGACTCCAGAAATGATTAAGTCTGAAGCCTATTACATGGAATCAGGGGCCCCAAAACAATAAGTCTGAGGCACTCAGTGATGAAAAATGGATTACTCTGGAAATACATTTTCCACCAAGTGCAAGGTCTGATTCGTCAGACTAATCAGACTAAATAGTCTGATATCGTCAGCCCTGGCTGCAAGGCCACAGTGACTGCCAGGTGGTGGAAACAACAGCACGTACAGTACCCCACCTGGCGCGCAATTTGCCTCCGTTGGCAGTGCGCGATGTTGCGTGACGCACGGAAACTGGGTGCGTTGGCTTCAATGTCGCTCAACGGACCAATCGTAGGTGTGCGGTGCCATCCGCCCTGAATGTACGTTGGCGCGCTAGTAGGTGTATCCAACAAATGGTCCAGTGGGACCGTGGAGCATTTCGTCGTGGTGCAGACTGTGGCGGAATCCGCGGTATGGAAAAGTTCCAGTAAAAGGGTAGTTGAACCCCTACCCTGATACGGTCAGTGTAACTGGAAAAGCTACAACAGTAATTTTAAGCGTATTCTGATCGCACTAGGGTAAAAATCTGCATACCTTGATTTGAAAAGGGTAACTGCCAAAAAGTGGCCTATGAGCAGGGCAAAAAGGGTAAAATACCATTGAAATTTGGGCCCTGTTTGCCAGGGGTGAACTCTGGGTACAATTGATGTAGTAGCAGAAGCGTTTAATGAAGAGTTGTGAACCAGGGCTCTCGCTAGGTTTTGGGCCTGTCTGACAGTATATGTAAAAAAAAAAAAATCGTCTTACGCTCAGATTGGCGTTTTTTTTTTTGTCTGGCTTGTAAGATGAAACATTAAAACCTATCTGAAATGACAGATGAACAATTCTACGAAGCATACACCACTGTACAAGAATTCTACACACTACAGAATAAAAACTAGGTATCATTAAACCATTCTATGGTTTAGTCAGACTCGCTGCCACTATCATCATCACTACAGCTGCCTAGGCTATCAAACGGCACTGGAATAGGGTAGTTAGCTTTCCCCTTGCGACAGAGCCATGAGAACTCAGCATCCAGCCTGGCTGCTTCTGCTACTGCTGCTGCTTCTCGTGCTGCTGCTGCGGATCTTCTTTTACTGCGCTTGCTCTCCCTCTCCACTCCCGGCAGCAGCACATCCTTGGCAGACCTCCTCTTCTTCGACTTGTGCCACCGCGCCACCAACTCGGGCCACTCCATGTCGTAGGTCAAAAGAGACACGGTCATGAGCTCACCAAGCTTGGCGGCGCACAGGTTCCCTCTCAGCCAGCTCTTGATCACGTTTTGTCTCGAGAATCCGCGTTCACACTCCACAGTGCTCAGCGGGAGCACAGCTACAGGGATCCACAGGCGGACAATGTTGGGGTAGCTCGTTGTCCAGTCCGGTGAGCTCAGCATGTGCCTCAGGCCCTCCGCAAAGCCGACATCCTCTTAGTGAGTGCTCATGATTGTCGCGAAGGTGTTGAGTTCCCGCTGTGCTTTGGCCCAGTCCACACGTGTAAGAATGGGCGGACGAAGGTAGAGAAACACGTGAGACTGATTACATATATTCACAGATGTGGATAATCATTTTAAATAACCAAACAACCTCACGACAAAAGGCTTAACACACCTGGCAGAGTGTCAGGATCGTCGGGATGCTTCTTGTACAAGTCGCGCAGAGACTGCAGCCACTGCGCCAGCCGCCGCTCGCGCTTTGCCGCGGACTTCGGGTACTGGGACTTCTTGAACAACTTCGGCCCATTGAGCGACGCGAGATCCTCCAGTCGGTAGTCGAGCTGCTTAATCAGCTCAACCACGAACTCCCGCCCGAGCTTCAAGCAGGCGCTGAGGTCGCCTTTGCTCTTCTGCCCCACGATAACCTCTTCGTGCAGCAAGTAACTGTGATGTGTCGGCGCTCCGGTGGAATCTGGGGCATCGACCTTCACCTCCCGGCACTCCTCCGAAGCATGTTTCGCCAGGAATGGCCCCAGCGCCGCGCCGCCTTGCCCGAAAGTCTCGTCGTTGCTGTCGAGGTAACGCGTCCGCAGCAGTAGTGTTGTGTTGTGTACCGTCTGCAGCACATGGGTGGCGTCAATCTGCATAAGCACAACGCAGAAAGGAGTTAGAATGTTACCAAACAAAACGGGAGGTTTAAAGCGCAAACATCAACACGTACCTGTCGTGTCTGGAACTTCAAGTTGAGCAGGTTCAGCTCCTTCTGCACATCGGCCAGCAAGTAGAGTAAGAAGTGAAATTTGAAACTCGTCACTGTCTTATACATCTTCTTGTCGAATTCCTGCAAGACGATCACAACAGCAGGGAACACCGCGACGAGTCGCTGGATCGCATTGCCTCGGGAAAGCCACCTCACGTCCTTTATCCCCTGCATCTCGAGATGCGTCTCGCAAATGACCTCTTGGAGCTCCTTGAATCGCGTGTGAACAACGAGGTGCCCGAGAATGTCGACCACTGAGCGGACAGCCCTGACCACTGCTCCTTTCACTTCAGCTGCAGCTCTTCCACAGTCAGTGGCCGACGTCCCTTAGTAGTGCCCTTCTCCTCGGCATCCTCATCGTCGTCGGAGGATTGACGCATCGCGGGCGGGACCGTCTCCGATGGCGCGGGAAATGTCGGACCTGCGGGACGGGCAAAGTTAAGCCGCCGCTGTTTGTATTTAGCTTTCACAGAAGCCCTGTCAGGGAGCACAGGGTTAGCCCGTAGATTGGAGGTTGTTGCAACTGAAACGACGGGGCGGATGGATTCACGGCCAGATGCTGGTATACTCGTCGACGTGGGCGTGGTAGCCTTGGGCATGCCACCGTCCGCATTTTCTTCAGCCATAGTGTCTGGGGAGGCGTCGTCCGTCGGTATAACCCGGGTTGAGCACGAGGCAACGGGGGGTGCAACGACGGGGATCGACTTGCCCCGTGTGAGAAAATGTAGTGCTGAGACTCCAGGGGGGTCTTTCTCCTCTGAAATGGCCATTAGATGGTATGGTGAAAGTAGAAAACTGCACTGCGGGGCTAGTCGAGTGCAGTGGAAGAAATGGATGTAGAAGATGGAGGGTGTGCCTCCAGTTTGGTCCCTCAAACCCTCGTCTCGTAGCGCGTCAGAGTGATGCGCGATGCGGGTGTGGGCGGGGAACCACAGTTACGTGCATCTGTGATGCATACAGGTCACCCCATTGCACAAAATGACAGTGTCAGTGCATGGGTGTGGCTGGCATCGGCGGCGACACCCAAGCAGCAACGAAGTGCTGGCAGCATTGCACATAGTTAACTGCTGCCAGCAGTGCTGTATCCTCCAGCGCGGATGCTATGGGACAGTAGCATTCATTACGCATGCCTGTATACAGGCTGGCAGACACCCGAACTAGTGGCCCTATGGACAACAGAGCAGAAATGTCGGTTTCAGACGCAATCGTACTCCTTATCTGGAGTCTCAGATGAAAGAAAGTATGCGATCTGAAAATGTATCTGAAGTAAAATCCTTTGTCTTACTGATCATCTAAAAAAAAAAGTATAGTCTTACAGATCATCTGAAATTAGAAAATTAAGTCTGAAACGCAGACCATCAGACCAAAT